TGACATCTTTCTCAGCGAGTCTTTCTCGCTCGAAGCTCAACTCACGTACATACTCACGATGCTGAAGACAACACCCGCCCCGCCTGCTTGACGGGCTCGGACGTGCGACGAAGTCGCGAGCTCGACTTCCAACGCGACGAGCGTGATGACGTCCGCGAGATCGAACACGGTCATAATAAGTATTCGAGACGAGTTGCCTCCAACTCACCACCTGCGCGACAACCTGCGACGACCTACGAGCCCAGCCAAGCTCACGGTTGACAACGGCCAGCAGTCGTGCATCCGCCATTCATGTTTAGCCACGAACGAGAGTAACTACGTCTCCGCGGCCAAATCGATATAATGTTTAGAAAGCTCCGTGGCTTTCCCTCTCTCTCTCTCTCTCTCTCTCTCTCTCTCTCCCTCGCCGACTTTCTCTCTATTTGTTTCCCTTCCTTTTTCTCTTTCTCTTTCTCTCGTCGCACCCACGCCTACGCCGTGCCGGCCGTACGCCTACCTTACGCGTGTTGCCCGGCTTTCGACGAGCGGACCGCGGGCTTCACTGACGCTCTGCGCCTATGTCTGTCTCCGCGTTGGACGCTACGCCCACGCTTATCATAATTATCGTGTTGTCGAGACTCACCGATGATTCACGCAAACTCTCATGCGTCGTCCCAGATTGTACACCGATATACCGCTCTCGGGTCGCTCGTGCATGCCGACGACGACGACGACGACGACGATGATGACGATGTTGTTATGACTTTCGCAGACAACGCACTGCCGCGATTTTCTCACCGTCTCCGCAGCTCATAATTAATCCTTTGAGACCCCGGTCACATGGCGCCACGCACCGTTTGACATTTATCCCCTCTAATCGCGGCCTCTCGTCCAATTAAGCGGCATGCACGTGTCGCCCGTGAACCTCGCTTTAGCCCGGAACAAGGCCCGATGATGTAAAAAGCTTAAGTAACAATCGCCGGTCTGAAAATAATTTTCCACTTTCGGCTCGGTCGCTGGTTCGGAAAGAGGGGGAGAAAAACGGACAGATAGAGAGAAAGAGAGAGAGAGAGAGAGAGAGAGAGAGAGAGAGAGAGAGAGAGAGAGAGAGAGAGAATTTCGTGCACTCGGAGTTAATCGAACTCGATTATTTGATCCGGTCAGACTAATAAATTCGTCGGGCCCTCCCTGCTGCGATTGAGGGAGGATCTTCAATCGATCGGAGAAACTCAATCTCATCTAGCGGGCTCCGTGTCCCTTAATTAACGATCCATCTTTGTTACGGACATCGCAGAGTGATGGGCGACGTCCCAACTTACCTGGCCCCTGGCCTCCACTGCGAACAAGCCTGAGACGGAGAAAGTACCCAAGCACCCCTAAAGTGCATCCAACACACCCTGAACGCGTGTGCGCGTCCCGCTGAGCTTAATTATAAAACGGCCGTCTCTCGGCAATTGTAAAAAATACGAGCGCCGGCTCGAGATTACGAGGGTGGGATTAATATCACGGCGACGGACAGAATGGCCGGACACATCATCCCCGACGGCCCTCGACGGAAGGATTGTTCGCGTGCCAATTTTACATACATGTTACCGCGGAATGAATGGAGCACACGCTTGAAAATAAGCCAGCTACGCTGACGTTGACGGCTTCCGTTCCCGCGGGAACACTTCAAGCCCGGCATTGGCCAAAGAGAAGCGGGGCCGCATCCAGGCGGTGATGGATGTACGGGGATGAGCGTCCCCAAGAGCCCGGGATACGTCTCGGGGTATTGTCGAGAGAGCATCCCCGAAGAAATGATGTATTATCGCGGCCGAGCGGGGCGGTTCAGTAACCCTCCCCGGTGGCGCGCTTACCCCTTTTATTATCCACGACACATCCACACAATGCCTCTCGCGCGCGTTGTTGACCCCCTCCCCCGTCCTCCCCCGCCCGCCACGCAAGCCTCGCTGCCGGCCTGCCTGACGTTGACGGCTTCGGCCGAGCGCTACTCGAATGGAGATCGCGCCTGCGACGGCTCGCGACGACTCACGCGATAATCGATAGCACGTTGCGAAAGAACGCACCGGGCGGCTCGCAGGTGAATGAAGCCGTAACGACGAAACGAGACCGCCCCGTCGTCGGCACGCGAGGACACGTCGTCGAGGGGCTGTACGCGTTCCGTCGCGTCGTGTCGTAATTGACGCGCAGCGTGCTCGCAGCGAGAGTTCGGCCGGTGCGAGAGATGGGTTCCGTTCGAGTTTAATTGATCCTCATCAGCATCCCCGTCCCCCCCCGCCTCCTCCTCCGTCAGGTTGATCGATATTCGTAACTATCATAAATTAGTTCGTTGTAAAAGATTCGCCGGTGCAGATTCGCGAGCAAGATCAGACCCGAAGTAACGCTGTAACGCAGATCGAAGAGAGCCTCCTGCACGCGCGCGTCCTGCGGCCGCATCCTGCACACTGAGTATGCCCCTCTGATATTCGCAAGCTGAGGTCACGGTAAACATGACGCTCGTATATGAAAAACGCAAGTCGGAATTAAAGGGGCGTACTTGACGTTCGCGTTATGCGCCTGGGATAGAGCCGCCGTCTGCTTGTCAAGTGGTTACGGCGCGACTATGATCGGACATTCCCTCAAGTCCCATGAGCGCCCGGCCAAGAAACCTGCAATCTCTCTTTCTGTGCTGTCCCGTGCGACTCTGTATCGATCTTCCGTTCACTCGTCTCGAAGTAACGTTGTGTAGTAGCGTAACGAGAGAGAAAGGGAGAGAGAGCGAGCGAAGTAACGTAGCATGTAAATTCAATTATAATGAAAGACGCAGCCTTTACGTCCGCCTAAACGCGGGTTTTACTCACTCTCGCTTTCTCGCTCCACCGCGCGTGCTTACTGATGATTTTCATCATTCAGGCATCACGCGCTCTTTCTCTCTCTCTCTCTCTCTCTCTCTCTCTCTCTCTCTCTCTCTTTATCGACATGATTCGCACGTTACTCGTGAATCCGCGACTAATCGCCTCACGTTTGTTCGCAGCGATCATGCCAGGGACGAGCTGATGACTCTCGACGCCTGCAATGATGTGACAATAAAGATACCTCCTTCTACTCTCTAATAACTCGGGGATCATCCCTATCGCACAGTGCTTCCTAAAGAAAAGAACACACACACACACACACGCACGCACACGCACACACACACACACACACACACACGCACGCACACACATACACTCGCACATACACACACATATACACGAGCACACACACGCGATCCGAAGATCACGCGCAAAAAAGCAACGCCAAACCGCCGGCCGTGATCGGCGTGAGGAAATCGGTGCCAAAAGTCGACACGGACAAGCCGCAAGAACCAACCCCGCGAAACTGTGTCAAAGAAGAATCGACGGGGGTGCAACGGAGAGGAGATAGAAAGACACGTAGCGAGAAGAAGGAACAGCGGAGTGGAAGAAGAGAATAGAAGAAAGATACACAGCTGCGGCAGAGGAGAGGAGGTGGGTGGATCAGGCGGATATCCTGAGGAACGAGGGAAGGAACGGTGCGCGACGCGGCCAGGCGTGCAGAGGCGTGCTAGCTAAGGAGTGTCGAGCCGGAAACACGAAGCCGGGCATCACGAGCACGGGGTGGTGGAGGTGGTGGCGGTGGTGGTGGTGGTCTCGTGGTGGTGGTGACGCAGAGCGGCGGGTTCTAAGCCGGAATAAGAGCACTTAGAATGGGCAACAAGCTGTCCTGCAGTTGCGCACCCCTAATCAGAAAGACGTATCGCTACGAGGACTCCCCATGGCAGGCCGGTGCCAGGGGCGGAATGGGCGGCGGCGGAGGGCGCAGGGGTGACACTGGCCACTTGCTCAGGTGCGGAAGCTTAAGAGAGAGGAAGAGGTGCGCATACCATACCATTCAACCATTCAATCACTCTCCATTCGACCATGTTACCACTCTTTCTCTTCGATGACCACTCGTACACACTTGTGACTGAATGCATTATACTGACTCTCTCTTTCTCTCTCTCTCTCTCTCTCTCTCTCTCTCTCTCTCTCTCTCTGCTTTTCCGTTTCTTTCCCTTTCTCTCTCTTCTTTTCTCTCGCTTTGTTCTCGATATTTGTGCTGAGCAGCATGAGTAGAGGGTAGCGGTAGCGTTGAGCGACGTGAATGAGAGTTTACGATTCATCGATTTTCATGATCAATTTCGGGCGGGGTAATTATGCGCGAGGGAGGCGACGTCGCGAATGTAATTAAACTTCGCTTGACGATGGCTCGAAAAAGCAAACGCGAAGGGCGGTGCAACGTAGAAAAGTCGACCGGCCCATCTTCGTGCGAAAATCATATCAACGTATTAAGGACCTTAACGAGATCAAAGTAAAATGCTGCACTTCGTCGGTACCGTCGTTGGTCTTACTTCAGCGAGTGCTCTCAAGCGTTTATTGAAAAATGCAGTATTTCGCAGTCGTGGCTTATTTATTATTTCGTAGCGCCTGCTGGGAGATAGAGAGAGAGAGAGAGAGAGAGAGAGAGAGAGAGAGAGAGAGAGAGAGCTATATGATGCTTCTCTCTCTCCGGTTTATATATGTCGAACGTCGGTTCGCGCGGAATCAAATGTCGCTTTTTATTCACGTCACTCAAGCTGTCTCGCATTCCTCTTATTCATTCGTTTTCTCTTACCTTTACCTCGCTCTCTCTCTCTCTCTCTCTCTCTCTCTCTCTCTCTCTCTCTCTCTCTCTCGCTGCCTCTTTTCCTCGCTATCTTATTTACTCGCGCTTACGTCTTTAATCCTCATCTTCTCTCCTTTCGCTTTGCGTCTTTTACCTTTTTTCCGCGGTCAATCAAGCTGCTGGCCCATTCATCAGAGCCGTTAGCTCGTTTTTTTACTCGTATCGCGACACGCTTAGTTAACTCTGAGAGCAATGTTGAATAATATCGACACAGTTTCGTTTATTTATCTAAACGTAACGCCAACGAAATAAAGAACGCGAAATAGACAAATTCTTTCGGCTGCCGATAATTATCGATAATAATTTCCGCCGTTCGTTTCGCGTGCTGTTTAATCTGGATTCCAATGGAATCTCGCTGAACGATAAAAATTACAATAAAACGTTGACTATCTCTACATTCACGTCGTATTTTTTGTATTACCTTCCCTCAATTCCGAATACTCACATCTATATATGTGCACTTCCCTATACAAATATACTATTTACTTGACACTTCACCCGTACACGTAAATGCTTCGCATGACTATTAGTATTTCTAGCAGTTTCCATTTATAATCCGACCTAATCCGATGCGTGAAATTCGATAATGTAACGAGAAAGCATATATATATATATATATCGTTAAAAAATTTATGCACTTACGACTCGCAGGTTTAACTCGCATTGCATGCGTAACGACTCGGTCAAAAAGCTTGGTTCAATTTTTTTATTTCATTTGATCCTTTAAGTCAAATTTAACTCCATCGGAGACAAATTGATCAAATAAGTAATCATCGTTATCTACGATCCTTTATTTTGATCAGTATTGTGTTGTTATATTATCAGCATTGATAAACGAATCAGCTTTTTGATTGAGCCAATGTACACGCGCGATTTTTTATCGATGCATGAGACAATTTCTAAGATTTTAATTATTATAAAATATATCGATATATAGTCTTACGAGTTACGTCGTACAGAAATATTGTGCCTGTCACTAGGAAGGAATTACGATAATGAGCTTTTTCAAAATTACAGATGCTTTTCTTACCTTTCTCTCTCTTTCTCTCTCTCTCTCTCCTTCTCTCTCTTTCTCTTTCTTTCTTTCTTACTTTCATTTCATACCAACCGCGAGATTTCTGTTCTATCTTCTCACGTTTCCTCCTAGAATTTCCCCCTAACGGTGTGTGTCGATGTTCACGAGTTACGTTGTCGCAACACAATGATGTAATGACGAGAGTTTTTAGGCTGTGGGCCGAAGTGTTCCATGTAAACGCGAGCGGCACTGGGACCGTCAAGTGGCAGCAGGTGTCGGAGGATTTGGTCCCAGTGAACATCACCTGCATACAGGACTCCCCGGAATGCGTTTTTCATATCACCGCGTACAACAGCCAGGTCGATAAGATCCTAGACGTGCGGTTGGTCCAGCCAGGTGAGCCATAATTGCAACATATCTCGCAACGTTCTCCAATTAAAGCCGATGAAGCGCTCCCCGTCACGAACGTCCAATTACAAAATCCCGCACGTCGCTCATCTTTATAGAGAGAAGGCAACGTGTGACACGGAGCTTCGTCAAAGAAAAGAAAATACACCTTTTTCATATTATTTATATTTTTTCACAAAGTTCCGTGGCACATTGTGTCTTCTCTGTAAAAATACGCACGGCGCGCACGGACTTTTGTGTCCTAACGATCCTAGCGAGGGAAAACGATCGGCTTTAACCTGAGAATAAAAATACAGCCGAGGAGCTGTACGATTACTCGCGCGTGCGAGCCACCTTTCACACGCCACGCTTCCCGATATTCAAGTCTCGCACGGGTGAATCCCTCGTGGAAGAAACGCGCCTCGCGATATGGACAGACAATTAACGTCGCGCCATCACGTTTAAGGTACGCGCATCGGCCAGGCGTCGGAGTGCTTCGTCTACTGGAAGGACACGGTGACAAACGACACGTGGGGGCTAAACTTCACGTCCCCCATAGATGCCAAGCAATTCAGAGAATGCTGCGTAAGTTTAGTGAGAAATTACACTCGCGACACGCATATTGTTACATTATATCTACCTATATATATATATATATATATATATATATATATATACGTATACATCGTGCCAATCTATTTCGCTATCATCCCCCCCTTAACCCTCCCCCCTGCCTAAAGTCTCCGCCAATGTACCTTCCCGAGGCGCGCGCGTACATCGCGCGCGAGGAGGTGGTGTGCGGAGACGGCGACACACAAGATCCGATACAGTCCGTGATCCGACTTAGATCATTTGCAGTCACTAGTTAATTTTCCATACAGTCACCATCGTTCAAGATTTCAAGGAAAGCGTCCTCTTCTTACTCGTTGAAGCTCGAGCCACCGAACAAGCAGAAGATCAAAACGCGCCGAAAGCCTCTGTCGACGCCGGCCTCGCCGAGCCGATCTAGAGAACCGCAGTGCACCTGCATGACGCCGGAACAGTTCGCCAGACTACGTAGCCAAGATGCCAGATATCGAAATTCATGCGGTAATAATAACGATCATCAATGCAATTGTAAAATCGAGCACACGCGCGCGCGCGCGCGCGCGTGACTGACTTCTCCCTGACCCGCTTGTTAAGTCCGACATGTGCTATTCTAGGTCCGGTTTGTACTATTTCAGGGCCGTCTACGCTTCCACGGACTATGGCGCGGTCCACAGAAATGGAGATGACCCCGGGACGGGACAAGATCACGGCGGCCACATCGAGCGCGTCTCTCTACGACAACGTGAACAATCCTACCGCGACACCAGGGAAAACACCAAAGGCCGGCGACTCGGCCAAGCAGAAGGAGAAGCAGAATGAGACGTGTCAGACGACCCCGAAGACTGCCAACATCGGGATCGGTACCGTCACCGTGGGCTCGCAGGTGAGCGATCCGATCGCGCCAGCATCGTACAGTCTGATCTCATTTAACATCGCTAATTAGATGACTGGTTCTCGAAGAAAAAAAAAAAACTAAAATAACACAAGTGAGGGAAGACTGTAACGTGTTTCTCTCCCGAATTGTCGCGGGAAAGTTCTCATCTCGCCTTGTTCCTCGACAGATCGACAGCCCCGAGGAGAAGGGCTCCTCGATATCGCCGAAGAAATCCCAGAAACAGAGCCAAGACACGTCCACCCAGCAGAACGGCATCGAGATGCTGAAGTCGGAGGGCACACAGGCGGGCGGCACCTTGCAGAGCAAGTCGCTGCGCAAGGAGCAGCTGCATCACACCAAGTCGGCCGACTACACCGAGCTGGAGATGCAGAACGGCAACATCTTCAACATCGTCAACAACAACCACGGCGGGCACAAGTCGAAGAGCAAGAGCACCGACGACATGCGCATCGAGAACGCGCAGAACGGCGGCATCAGCCTCGACTCGAACACCCTGAAGCGAATGCTGAAGCCGATGCCGAGCATCGACAGCCCGGTCACGTCGCCGGAGATGACGAGGAAGCGCCACAGTCATCACAGCTACCACTACCATCCGAGCAATAACAATCAGAAGTACGTCATGCAGGAGGTCGACAACGAGAACTACGCGCACCCTTATCGAGCGCCCTACAATAATAAGTTCCAGGGCTCCAGGAGCGCCCACGACATGAGTCGGCAATACGCTGGTACGATTTCCTTCTCGACTGCTACCGCTAAGCATCGATTATACCGATTCTTTTCGGATTTTATTTTCTAGCACGATATTCTCTTCTCTATCATTACCTCGACACTGAGTACTGCTCGCTGAGTTTTCGTTGTATGTACGCTTGCCATTGATTGAGCAATCACTTGATCAACTAAATAGATCTCGATAATAATAATCAAGCTTTGAAAATTGATTTGTCAACACGTTACGCAATCATTGCAGAAGTATACGTCTCTTTTTTTGCTCAAGTGGAGTTGTCATCGCTGAGATAGTAGGCTTTCGACAAATACACATCGAACGGAAGATTAAAGCGACGTAAAGAACTCCAAAAGTGAAGCCAGTTGAAGCTTCAACATCTCGGCAATGAAAACACCGAAGAAAGAACCACCGGGGGGGGGGGGGGATCGATCGCACGATCTTCCACTGAAGAGTCGGCTTTTTCCACGGGGCTTTACCCGCACGAGATCACGTGAGACGCAACGTTCCCGTTCTCCTTCAGAAAACAATGAGATCTAATCTAAATGAGATTTATAGACGTAAGACGTCAACAAACGGGGAGCCGCAAAGTTCAAGCCGACGACTATCGCGCGATCGATCCCCGCGACTGGTCTCTCTCACGCTCCGAGCCGGGTAAATCCGGCGAACGCGTAACACCCGCGTCGACAAAACCCTGCGATTTCCTCGCGCTCTGGTCCGTCGGAACCGACGGTCGGCACGACGGCACCTCTAACCTTTAGCTGCACCCTCGGCGTAACTTAACATGCGCACGACGAACCACGAGAAGCCCGCAAGCGATACCCAGCCAGCTCCACCCTGATGAAAGTCACGGGGTCACCCACCACTATCACCGTCATCACCACCACCACCACCACCACCACCACCATCACCACCACCACCGCCGCCGCATCTCCACCTCCACCGTGCAGCACCCTTAACATTTTGTAGCCTTCTTATGTAACATGCGCACTAAAGGACAACGTGGTTATTTCACTGGTCCGACCAGTGCGTCATGGCTCATTCTCCAGTGGACCACATCTCGAGTTACGCGTTCGCCGAGACCCTTTCTCACTAATCATACGTTCTCCATTGATCAGCGACGCACCATACCAACCACGTCCAACGTACATCCTGCACTCTCGGCACATCTCTGCTCGCAGGCGGCAGAGGCAGGACGTACTTAGATTCGGAACGTAATCGGTGCACAGGTGACATGTCGCCGCCCTCGGACAATGTCATCTTCGACAACCAGTGCTACGCCACGACACCGAGCTCGTCCAACGGCAACTCCGACATGGAGCAGTCGAACCACTGCAACTCACGCCGCTGCAACGGCGGCCAGACATATCAACAGAGCATGCAGTCGGTGTCGACCCCGGGCAGCCCGACCAGCCGGCTGCTCCTCGAGTACGAAATGCATCTCAGGAACACCCTGGCCAAAGGCATGGACGCGGAGAGCTACAGTCTGCGCACTTTCGAGGCTCTGCTGACGCAGAGCATGGAGAATCTCGGTGAGACCGCGTGAGAACCCTTCCACGTTTTCAGCGGGAAAAATTCCGATCGCTACTTTCTTCGCGGCCGACACAAATGTCTTTATGTCAAATGTATTTTTATAAGTCTTCCATATTAACGTCGCTGACGAGAGACTTGCGAAACCGCCAAGACCAATTCTCTCTCTCTCTCTCTCTCTCTCTCTCTCTCTCTCTCTCTCTTTCGTTTCCTGCCTCCCTCCTTCTTTCGCTCTTTTCTTCATCTCGAAACCTTTTCTCTCCTCCTACTTTTTTTCCATCGTTTCTTAAGTAATCGGTAAAATAATGTTTCGGGAAGAAATTCGACGGAAGTTACTCGAACGTTTTTGTACGATGGCGTGCGGTAAATTGAATTCGCGACAATGGACTTTTTTGCTGCTCTCTCCGTCGGTCGCAAATCTTCTCCCGCAACAAATTATCCCACCGACCCTTGTTCTTTTCGAGCCCGGACGCATGAATTAAACTTTAACCTTTCTAATTTATCAAGCTGATGAAGCTATCCAACTAATTCTGTCTATAAAGAACGTCCAATCCGCGCCTCAACGCGACTTCATATTTCGCTGAAGCGAATATTACAGCCTCTCTGTTTCTCTTTCCAGAATACGCGGAAAATATACCGCTGAATGTCCAGCGCACTCCTCATGTGTCACGAAGACGTAAGTAAAATTCGACGTATCTTTGAAAGCTGAGATAGCATTCCGCGCGAATGCCGTTCGTCGAGCCGTCTAACGCGCATTGTCACGGCCGCAGGTTCCAGTTCCAACAAGTCGTCGACGCTGCCGCTGTCGTATCGCTACTGCAACGAGAGGCAGAACAGCAAAGACCGAGACGGCTATTACAGCGACCGCAACGAGATGGTGCGAGAGAAGAGAGAGCGAGACTCCGACCGAGACCGCGGCTATCTCAGCGATTACAACTCTAGGTAAAAATCCTTGCTGAAATCTCCCTCAGACCAGCGTTCCAACCTCCAGAGACTTCAATCTGAGCCAAATCGTCAATTTGCTTCGGATTTCTCGCATCTTGACGGAACGCACAATTGGCTGGTGCCGAGAGCAAGCTTGTCGGATTCGCGATGTTCATGTCGTCGGCCCCACGCTTGTTGCAAAATTTTTTAAATTGTTTTAATAAAAATAAAAATCGCACATAATCGCCAGCGATGCTGGTCATAATTCAATTACTCGAGATCATCTCACGTAGCTTGAACCATGCAGCGAGTAAAGAGTACAAAATAAGAAAGTAAAAGTATATGAAAAATAAGGTAAAACAAAAGTATTGTCCTAGCAAGATTCTACTTTCCACGTTGAATACTATAATGAATTTTCGGCGATAAATGTGGGACCTGTAAGCGTGTTCTCAGCACCAGAGTCCCTCTCGTACGCGTCCAGCGCGACGTAAAACTCGGGGAAAATCCCCGAGCGGATATATTTAAGACACATCCGACGTCATCGTGACGTCCACCGGACACCGCACGGGTCACTCGGGCCGTCAAACGACTCGCGTGGATTGCAAGTTGCGACGGGAACTGCGACGGTACTTGAAGAAAGCCGCGCGGCAAGTCGTCGGGCAAATCGCGCGCGAAGGGCTCGTCTCGCGGAAAGACGCGAAAAAGGAAAACACGAGACATTTGACATTTAAAGGGCTAGCTCCCTGCAGCAGGAACGGCTTCAAGAATAATGCTGGTCAATGAGACGTGTCCTCTGACCAGGCCTTAAGGCGACCTGAATTAGCACCGGATGTGCCACTTTATTGATAGCCCGGGTAGACGGTCGCTCGGTCGGTGGGTGCGAGAAAAAGAACAACACGTGCGCGCCGACGGGCTATCGATAGGTGGACGCGATCGACTCGACTCGACGCGCCGCGTCGCGTCGCGTCGCGTCGCGCCGCGCCGCATCGCATCTCGTTTCGTCTCGCAGCGTCCATCGAGGTCTATCGAAGGCACCTCGATAGAGCCCTCTCAGGCATCGGCGTACATGCATCATCCCCGCGCGCGCTGTGCATCACGGGTCAGCGACGGCGGCTGTGACGGCGAGTCGCCGCTTAGTAAATATAGAAAAGCCCGCGGGTGGGCTCTGGCCGGCTAGAAAATACGGCGGAGAAACCGAGAGAGCGAGAAGGGTGCTGCGTCGCGATAAGAAAGAACTCGCGTTTGCTGCGCGATCGTCCGACGACGACGACGACGACGACGACGACGACGACGACGACGACGACGGTCGGTTACAGCTCGAGGGGCATCCGAGAGCGCGTGAAGAGACGTGAAACGTCCTTCAAGTCGCGGATCATCCCTTTAACGTACGATACACGCTGCATTTCTCGGGTGTGTTCTCTCGGGAGGAGACGAAGCACTGATAGCTGAGCGAGCCAAGGACACGCCGAGTGCGGTTCTTTCGGTCTCGAGATCCCGCCATCGGACTCTCGGTGGGTGTCGCGATGTGAAGTGTCAAACGTCACTAATGGATCACCGACGTTGTCCCGGCGATGTTGCGATAAGGTCACGTCCAGTGCAGCGATCATTCGCTAGCGCGGCGGGCCGATAAGGTCGCGAGTGGATGGAAGTGCAAAGTGCGAGACAAAAGTAAACGGGGAGTGAATTATCGAAGGCCGAGGGCGAAAATGTCGCGCGAAAGCCGACCCGTTTGAATATTCCTCGGCGAGGAGGACCTTTGTTTCTCGCTGTCGCTCTCGAGAGAGCTCGGCTTTCGGGATGGACTTTCTGATCCTGAATGCGAACTGAACGAAAGGAGATACGAAAGGAGAGATGAGCCGCGTGCGCGGTGGGTAATTACGGACGAAGACAAAAGTAATCTTCCGACTTGGCGGGGAGCAAACCCGGAGGAGGAGGAGGTAGTCGTCTCTCGCTGTTGCCGAGGACTTGGATAAAGATCACTTCCGAGGCGAGCCCGGAGGCGAGCAAGAATAATCGCCTAGCCTCGCCTCGCCGCAAGGAGAATCGCGCGATTGTCACTCGCGTGAACGTGGAATCGGCCGGCGAGTAATTACTCCGCCATTGACACCCACGTTCGTGGGCGAGCAGCGACGTTTTCGGAGCGGAAACGGCGACAGAGAAATATCGGTGCGAGAAGTAATTATTTCACCGTTGCCTGCGCTGCGAATGCCGAAACAGAGCGATCGTCATCGTCGCGAGTACAGGCTCCGATTATCCGGCTGATCGCGTCGTCGTCATCGATCGAGCCCTACGCGACCATCAACGTCATCGACTAGACATGGAATCGCGACGAGCGCCAAAAATAGCCGATCTACAGCGCAAGTATCGCTCGCTCGAGCGACGGCAGGAGCGGCCGACGAAGCCGATGCCGAAGGTGCCGATGGTACCGGACAAGGTGTTCTACCGGATCCTAGACGGTCCCGAGAATCAGCGGAGCAAGAAACACGTCAAGTTCCAGCTGCTCGGAGAGGAGGACGAGGAGACGCGGAAGAAGAGCATGCGGTACTTCGAGAGATCGCCCGTACCCGCACGGTCGGTTTCGCAGAACACCAATGTCCTTTACGCGACATTATATCGTGGACGGGGAAGAATATATCTCGCGAATGGATCAGAGGAAGAAATATATGCTCTTCTTCCTTTTGTCCGCCGCAATGGTTAAGATGGAATTAATTGCGTTAATTGATGTAATAAATTCTACATGGCGATTCCGATTCTTTTCTTTCCTAAGTCCCCATAATCCGCGCGACGAAAAGTGTGTACCTATTCTCTCCCTGAGCCTGAATAATGATTTTCAGTTATCTGTTTGAATTCCGACAAGGCCAAGTGTGCTTCTTCCAAGAGCAGGCTCAGTTTCACCCCCTTAGATAGCAGAGGTTCTCGATCTGCGCTCGCCGCGACGAGGCGCTGCCTCGTGCGCGGGCGATATCTATGTCGAATCGATAAGAGCGATTGATTGCAACCGGCATAACGATATGACGTACAATATTTAAGAATGTTACGCAACGCGCTGGGTATACATAATTAATTCGCAACGACGCTTGCAGATGCGCCAGCTGCATCGGGGAGTCAGCGCGCGCACAATGGTTTCGGCATTCCGACGGCTGGCAATCCGGCAGCTCGACCCTCGGCTCCGGCGCTTCGAGTTCGATAAATCCAGGATACTCGGCACACAAGAGAGACTCGCCCTGGGACTCTCTCCCGTCCTTGCGACACGAGGGCAGCCTCAACGACAGCGGCTACAAGTCCAACCGGACCGACTCTCTCGAACAAAGGTGAGGGGAATGGGATCGAATCGCCGATTCGCGGCCTCATGCGTGTGGGGCGACTTGCAGAAAGAATACCCGTATCGCAAAGAAAAGAAAGACAATGTCACCGTGGCTACAAACATTGAAAGAACTCGCAAACATCTCGAAGCGACGGATATCGACTGATACCTTCGAACACGGAATGCTGCGGTTTGACTGAGCGGATTGCTAAATCGTGACGTTTGGAAATTTGCTCAGCCAGACCGCAACGTCCTCGTCGTCGGGTCAAAGAGACAGCAATCGATAGCTGCCATTTCGAGACGTTTGCCGTTTGGAATCTGGAGCACATACGCTCATCTGTAACAATGAAATCCATTCCCGGTGTCATGATATTTCTAATTGCAAAGTACGACACCAATCAACCTCTTCGCTAAAGCCCTGAAAATTAAAGGAGAGAGGAAAAGGCGCATAACTCTCTCGCGGCACACAATGCGTACTTATACGATATACGCCCGGCATTCTTTTTGGTTCTCGTGGATGACGTTCAGTCGCCACTACCTACCTTTTGTCGTCCTATATCGCTCGCATTGTCTTCCGTACCTCCATTGTGCCGCTCCTACTCTCTTTTTCCATTTTTATCGCATATCACGACTCTTCTCTATATCATCGCGGTTCCGAAAACGGGGTTTTATCAACCTCTAACTTAGCTCGTCCCTTCTCCCTTTTTCTCCTTCTCTCTCTCTCTCTCTCTCTCTCTCTCTCTCTCTCTTTCTCTGTCTTCCTCTTCATTATCAGCGCACGACTCTCCGCGAAACGTACGAAAATCATGTCCAACGGGAATTGGAGTGGCCAACGAACGCAACTGTACGACAGTCTTATCCAAATTGGCTTTGTCGTAATCGAAGGAGAACCGTAAAGGAAAGAGAGAGAGAGAGAGAGAGAGAGAGAACAGAGGCCGGTCATTGAGAGACGGTCTTTATGTTTACGTTCACGAGCCGCACCACGGTATTCAATTGTACGTGTTGCATATTCCAGAGGTACTTTCGACAGACAGGACAGTGTCAGATCCGACTACATGTCCGACCGGGACGGCAGATACGGAATCGTTCAACAAGCTTCATTGGAGAGTACCGACTCGAGGCTTTGCTACTTGACGTCTTCCGAGGTGAGTTATCCAAGCACTTGTTGACCTTATCAACCTGATACACCCGAGTGCCACTCGACAGTGCCTTTGTAGCGCAGTTACATTCGCTATGCGCGAACATAGCGGCGGCGCATACGGCACGGGAGAGGGAGAGGGAGGGAGGGAGGAAGAGAGAGAGAGAGAGAGAGAGAGAGAGAGAGAGAGAGAGAGAGAGAGAATTCACTCGAACATCTTGAGATGAATTTGCATGTCTCGAGCGTGCATTACGCGTTCATCGTCATCGCGCCGATCCCGATTCTATAGCGGGAGATTATAATAACTGCGCGAAACTATATCGCGGATTATTAACGCAGATCATATTCCTCTTCTTCTATTTCCCCCTCCCTCTCCCCTCATTCACTCTCCAATACGACTTAAGCTCCGCGCTGTAAAATTTACACTTAATCGCGCGATTAAGAATTACGAACGTATCGCGCCGTGTTAAATATTAAATCTAATTACCAGCAATCTCTCTCTCTCTCTCTCTCTCCTCCTACCTCCTCCCTCTCTTTGTCTATCGTTCCATATTCCCCCTCTGTCCCTCCTGCCTCTCTCTCATTCTCCGATATTAATTAAACGCGGGGACGGTAAGTGCACGTAGACCACGGATTGCGACTGAGAGTATTGATTTGATTGAAGTGCGGACTTTGCAAGACACGACGCAATACGTAACTAAGACGACTCTCAGTTACGACAAGTACAATTAAACGGCGCTTGGCGTTAAACTCTGAAGCGAAGCGAAACGAGATGAAATGGGGCGAAAAATGCGAGCGGGAAACGGCACGGGACAAGATACGCTTTCTGTCTTCCACTTTTTTTTTCTTCTTTTTACGCTCCGCATCGTTGTCCGCTCCTGTCGTGTCTTGCCGGCAATTTGACGAGACGTCCGAATGAACATTTTTACTTGGAGGCGCGATTTCGTCATAATCGCCGAGCGACTATAAACGATAACAATGCCGGGCTTCTTCTATTTTGCATGTTCATAGCGAAAAGAGGCGCGGCATTTATATGAGTTTTGTTGCTGTCTAGTTTCCCGCTCTTTCCTCCTTTTTCTCTTTCTCTCCCTTTCTCGGCATGCTGTGTGTTGCATGCACGCATCATGCGAAACTTTTCACAAAACGTAAAGGCGCACTCCCTGGCGGCGCCGTGCTGTTGCCGCGCTACGGATACATTACTCTTAAAGCCCTTTGAGTGGATTCTCTTTTCGCCCGCACACTCACCGTCCATTTGTGATTTAAAACTACGAGGCAACCGAACCGCCATATTCGCGGAAAGCTCGAATCGATGAGCGATAGCGGTAACTGCTCCCGCCGGGGGCTTTGAAGCTACTTGTGCAACCGCGAAGAATGAGAGCCCGTCTTTGCATAAAACAATTTGCGGCCGAGCTTCTCTTCGCTCTGCGATTCGCGTCTTATGCGACGCGACTGCGTCGAGGCGAGGGAAACCTCCGCAAAGATTTCGCCTCGCCTTCAACACAGAGCAACAAAATCGACACGTGATTCCGGTCGTGCAATTTACAATTCTCGCTCGACTCTCGCTCGAGCTCCAAGCACTTTCATCCCTCACGTTTCCTTCAAGCGTTTCTGCAGATTCATTCGCGATAACCCTCCCGCCTGCGCTAATCGGACATCGCCGTTGTTCTTTCTCTCCCTCCTCCCCTTCCCTTCTTTTTACCTCACATTCGCGGGGTGGTATTTTACGTCTTTAATCTCTCTTGACCGCGTGAATTTCTCCCGAGGACTCGACGATATCGGTAACGTTGATCTCGCTCGCGTGTATTATGCACTCGCAACGCCGCGCGGACGGTCTTCGCCCCTAACAGTTACGAGAAATTGCGCAACTCTCTTTCTCTCTCTTCCTCTCCCTTTCTCCTTGTTCACTCCCGCATAATCGTAACGGCGCGGCTGCACAAATTGCACCGACGCACCGACCACGCCTACAGTATAACGACACGGTTGCAAAAGAGGCCAGCACGAAACGTGGAAACGGAAGTGCACGTACATGTCGATAATCGCGAGGCGACGTCCCGTTCGCGGACGTTCCGGCGATGCGCGCAGGTCGTCGTCGTCATCGTTATCGTCGTCGTCGCGGAACCTTTCCTCTTCCTTTCATCTGTTTCGCGGCACGACGTGCGCCGCGGGACGGGCGAGCTAGATTGAAACAAGAGCTCGAATCCTCGACATGCTCCGTTGCTATTTATGTGCTTACCCCGAAGTTTACGCCAAGGGATACACGAGACAACGTTCTGAGCACCGGCTGCGCCCACAATTCTCAAGCTCCTTCGCGCAGA